TCTAATTTCTATTGGCTTTTAAGAATATGAAAAATCTAGGCATCAGATACTCTTTTCCTCCAACTATAAAATCATAAATTTAACACTTTAACGTTATAGGTGAATTACTTCATTAACATTATGTTTTTCCTACTCTTAATAAAAGAAAATAACTACCATGTGGATGATGGCAATAATTCTGTATTTTTGAATTAAAAATAAACTCGGAATATTAGGGGCCGTTCTCTTTGGCTGTTTTTGGTCGTTTTCTGTTTTCAGTTTTTCAAAACAACAAAAACGCGTTCTCTTTCCTATTTTCGAAAACGTATTTTTCAAAACGACCAAAAATTTGTACACAAAACACAAAATGATGAAAACATCGTTTTCCATGTTTTCAACCAATTTCAAGCAAAAACTCAAAACACGCGAAATGGGTCGTTTGGGTACAGTAACACCTATTCCCAATTGACGCCCTCTCTTCCTCCTCTCTGGACGCGGGTACCGAAGCCGGCGTGGACAGACGACTTCCATGAACGCAGGGTCGCGACCCATTCTTCGCGATGCTGCTGTGGTTTGGCCCATCTCTGCCTCCTCTCTCTTCGACGTCGGCGTCGAATTGGTAGGGCAAAGGTAGAGTTCTCTCTCTTTTTGATTTGCAATTTTGGGATTTTTTGGGTTTTTTGATTTCCGTTGTGTTGATTGGTGACGACCCATTGATTTCGGTTATGTTGATTGGAAATTGCAGTGGTGGTTGTGATGGTAGTGGTGGTGGTGACGGGCGGTGGGGGCTTTTTGGTTGTTTCAATGGTGGTGACGATGGAAGTTCTCTCTTTTTGATCTGCTATGTGGGGGCTTTTTGGTTTTTTCAATGGTGGTGGCTGGTTGTTGTTTGCAGTGGCGGTGGCAATGGTGGTGACCGATTGTGGTGATTGGTTGTTGTTTGCAGTGGTGGTGATGGTGGTGACCGGCGGTGGTGGCTGGTTGGTTGATTGCAGTGGTGGTTGATCTGCTATGTGGGGCGATGGTGGTAGTGGTGGCTGGTTGTTGTTTGTTTGGTGGTGGCGATGGTGGTGACCGGCGGTGGTGGCTGGTGGTGGTGGTTGTTTGCAGTGGTGGTGGCGATGGTGGTGACCAGCGGTGGTGACTGGTTGTTGTTTGCAGTGGTGGTGCTTGGTTGATTTCTCAAAATTCCAAAGGAAACGAGTTCTCTAAAGTTGTGTTTTCAGAAACAATTTTTCGGAATGACAAAAAGAACACGTTTTCAATATTTTCAAAACAGACACTCAAAACACAAAACACAAAACGAATTCAAAATTCAAAATAGAAAACTGAAACGCAAAGAGAACTGCCCCTTAGTCTTTTCTATTCTAATTTTGAAGGTCGTAAGGGGAGAAATGCTCCTCAAATGATATTGTTATTACCGACTATTGAAAATTATAAACATTAAATTCCATTTCATTGAAAACAATCAATTCGAATAAAGAAAAATAAACACTCAAAACAAGCATGATTTATAGAAGTTTGCCTCAATTTGACCTGTTGGTGCAATAATTCACTATGATGAATAAAAAAAATTTTACAAGAGAAAATCGCACACATATCCCCCCCCTCTCTCACCCACCCACCCACCCACCCACCTAAGGACGAAACCCTATTTACAAAATAAATTAGAGCAAAATCGAATTTTACAAAGACCAACTTCACGAAATGATAATAAATAGGATTGACAATAATTAGATTTTACAACTTAACAACCGACCTTTATCCAAAGAAAGGGAGGAAGACTAGGACTGCATGCATGGAATAAAACATTTTTATAAATGTTTGTTTAAGATTCCTTTTAATTAAGTCTGCTTATAGTTCAATACATTCTTTCAAAAATAAATATTTTTTGTTGGTCAAAACATAAAAATGAGTACATCTTATCTTACTAAAATTATTAACATTTTAATTTAATGGATAATAAGAAAATTATCTATCTATATAAAATTTGGAAATAATAAGTTACTTTACAGCTTTGCCAAACAAACAAGGGAAAAGTTCATGGATCAGAAATTAACTTTGACATTTACAAAAATCAGATGCCAAAGTTTTAAACCCCGGTTTGGCCCCCATTAGTTTGCATTTCATTACATTTTTTGCCATTATTTGTTAACTTTTCAGACAATTGACGGGCCCATGTGTCATACCGCCCATGTGTCATACCATTCAAAGAGTACAAGTACGATTTGCATGCAAGACTCATAAATATGGCAGAAAACCTTCTTGTGATGTTACGAAAATGACAGTAATGTCCTCATAACATTGTGGGAATTTTTCCTCAACTACCACGTTCAGACACATTAAAAATCGATTTTAAGACACGTAACAAAAATGCACGCATAATACATAAAAATCCATGGCAGTAATAATAATACCTAACCGATCGCGACCATTATTTTGATACCTAATGAAGGGCTTAAGCTATATAATAACGTAGTTGTTGCCACGGTACGTCCTCGTCCCCAATCGCGTCCTCCTTGGCCGCAATTTCGTCTGCCTCATCTAGAAGATCGACCTCAACTTCCTAGTCGTCTTCCTCCACGATGCGAAAACCTTCATTGACTCTGCCGTGTCGTCTCAAAAAATTATGCACGGCCATTGTTGCCACGACAACGAAGGTTTACATTCTAAATGCGCAGCTAGGCATTCGATCGAGGATTTTCCACTTCTGCTTCCAAACACCAAATGTCTGCTCAGTGACGTTACGGCACGACGAGTGATGAAAATTGAACCGCTCACTTGTATTTCGGAATCGCCGTCGACCTCCATTGTTGTTCTGAAATTCTTGAAAGTGATACCTTACATCAGATCCTTTGTACGGCGCCATGTATCCCAGACGATGTGCAAAACCCGAGTCCACTAAGTAGTATTTCCCATTTCCTGGTTCCGGGAAATTCACATCAGGGCTATGGACACATCGAGCCAAAATTCGACTGTCATGCGTGGTCCCTGGTGTCCCTGGCATTACGAACGTGAAGCACAAGTTGAAATCACAAATGCTAGCACATTTTGCGTTCGAAAACCTTTCGTGCCAATGAAGTCCACCCTTTCACGCCGTCGTAGCATCGCCCAAACATGTGTGCCGTCAATCGCGCCAATACAATCTTGCAACACGAGTTCGTATCAAATATGACAGACAATTCATCAAGACTACTCGATTCGATAATCGTTATAGTTTATTTATGACCACATACTAACCTGAAAGAGTGGGTATCTGGTATAATCTGGGCAATGGTGATTCGCCCCCTCGTTGTAGTCGGGATTTGGTTTAATAATATCGGTGCCTAGTGCGATGATGACTCGTAGCACCTGCCTGAAGCACTTCGAGATTGTCTGCAAAGAATGCCCGAGTAGCGTTTGTATTTGTCGGTATCCATTCCCGTGAACTAAAATGCACAGAAACATTCCAACTTGTTCGTAAATGTCAACGTTTACACTGCATGTTAAGCCATACTGATCTCGAAGAGTATGCGTAAAGTGCATGAACATTGGGGGATACATTCGGAACTCCTGATGACACGTTTGCGAATACACGTGCATATTCTGTAGCATAAATATATAACCGCTGCGTGATGTAAGAAAGAAGTACCGAGGTCCATTGTTAGTTGAAAGATATTCGCGTACAAGGCGTTCAGCAATTGTAACATGTTCTAGATAGGCTCTTACATCATCGTCGAGCTGCTGCCGTTCATTGTCGTCCGACCACTATTCCGAATCGGACATGGAAACGAGGCTGGATTCTGTGTCGAATGAAGTACTTTCAGCCTTTTCATCACTCATCTACAGGAACGAAACATGAAATATATTAGGCTCCGTTTGATTGGTATAATTTTGCACCCGAAAAATTTTTAAATTTTGTGTTCGTTTGTCCTTCGTTTGCATCAAAATTGTCCATTAAAGTGATAATTTATTCCACAATTGGTTATAAAAATTGTTTCCATTGCGAAAAAGTTTTAAAAAAACGAAAAAAAATATTTCCTAAAAATTTATTTTTTTATCAAAGTTTAATGAACAAGTTTGGCCTTCGTTTGCATCGAAATTGTCCATGAAAGTGATTTTTTTTTTTATAATTGGTTATGAGATTTGTTTCCATTGCTAAAAAAAAGATTAAAAAAAATAATAATAAAAAAGCAGTACAGAAAGTCAGAATTGATTTTCCCACCAAAAAAAATAAAATTTGTTTTTACTACTTTTGTTTAGTGGTTTTTACAACTAATTTATTGTAATTTTAAAACTGATGACACTAGCATTGGTTTACAGCAATTTTCACTAATTCAGCTGTGGCTGAGAAAATATATTCAACTAATTTTCACTAATTCAACTAATTTATTGTAATGAAAAGGAAGTTTACATATACACAAATGCGCCTGTTTCCAAGTCCAAGACATATACAAGTTCAAGTTTGTACAAGAAAACATACTTAATTCAATACGTCCTTCACAGAAATTAAAAGTCTCAACTAATTGCTTGCATATTTTTTACCACATAATTGGAAAAAATAAAGAACAAGTTTCGTGGATTTCTTACCTTACCTTCCCTTCAAGAAGTAGAAGTTGGGGAACTAATTGCTTACAGATGGTGAATTCTTTGATAGCTCACAACTACCCCCTATTCCTGACGCCTACGACCTTTAATACACATACAAATACTGTTCCAATTCTTGGCATACACACAGAGTCAAGTACTACATTGGTGCTTAATGTTGAAAGAAAAGGCGGGGGAGATGAGGGAATATATTCTCTGCTCTACTAGGGAATATATTATTTGCTTACAACACATGTTTATACTCACTGTTCCAACACATGGTCACAGTAGTTGACAAGGATGGAAAATCAAATTCAAATCTAACCTACATAATATGAATTAAAACACGTGGGATAAACTTAAATGACGGAACTGTCAAAATTCAAATCACAGAACAACGTAATCATAAAACTGACAGTTTAACAACACATAAGACAACCGACCGAAAAAGGGAATCACAGTTTGCGTCTCGCCCTCGACTGCTTCACTAGGTTTGCATCGTTGTCGCGTTTGAAGCAATACTGAACCCAGACGAACCTAAGTTCATGTATTTCAAAGGCACTGTACGAAATACGATTTTCGGTGTCACGGAAGAACCACGCAGCAAACAAATGAAGCTCGTCACCACTCTGTACGAGGCCCGTCGAAAGCAAGTCCTGCACGCACTCCGAAATTGTCATCACGCCCTTGTCTCTTGACCGAATGACAGAAGCAAATTCCCTTGACGCAGAGACTCGGAAACCTCCTTCGCTCTAAACTTTTTCTTCTTTCCCTTTTCCTTTGATTACTTACCCTTACGCTTCTCTCTACTTCGGGCAAGGGAAATATTCATAGATAAATGATTCACCCCCTCCTGAGGCCCGTCGCTTGAGTTCGTTGTCTCTATGTTGATTGGCATCGTGTCATTACGGTCCTCTGCATCGCTGTCTGAGCTGAGATCAAGACCGCGTTGGCAAAGTTTTGTCGGTGTTAAAGCGTACTTCGTGGCATCCCAACTGCCACCAAACAATTTGCTGTAAGTGTGGTAAATCTCTTTGTTATCGTTGTCTTTGAATTTGCCATACTTTGGGTTCTCCTATAAGAAAGACCGTATCAGCAACTGTATATAGCATGGACCAAAAACGCCTGTTTGTATGAAAATGTACAGAGAAAAATTTCATTCAACAGAATCCAGCAGTTGTAGGCACGAACTATTGACTTGTACATTGCTAACAGGAAGTCCTTATGTTGTAGTTAATATCACCATGATGAAAAATACATAACAAATTGAGAGTGAGATGAAAGATTTTTAGAACAGGCTTTGGATCTATCGACATTCTACAACCTTTTTAAACTATATATGCAGCTTTAATTTCCAATTGACTTTTTTGTTTTTAAAACCCACACAATATCAATACTACTAAACACAAATATGTATACATAGAGCAGGCATGCTAGAGCTGTGAGTACATGTGAAGGGGAGAAAAATGCACGCATGCTAGAGCTGTGAGTTCAGTAAGTGGAAATTACCTTCAATTTCTGCTCCCATTACCAGTTCGGCGCTTCAATTATGCCCCCGTTGTTCAGATCGTACTGAATCCCGGTGCTTCTAAGCAACTCGAACAATTACTTGTGGTCTGTTCACATAACCCCCCAGTGGTTCTTCAACTAGGCGATTGTCTAATCCTTCCCAGCTTGCCGGTTGAACAAGTCCCAGATGCGCTCCCAGCCGGTAGTCGAGAAACACTTTCCCCGACGATGTCCTTCGGCAATTACATGCTCTGCAACTCTGATGAAAATATGGTATTCCTTGGGATCCCACCTTGCACACTTGCGCGTGTCTGTCTTCTTGTCGGAACGACAGCTAGGAGTGTCACGGGCACTGGATCAGTTACCAGAGTCGTGAAGGTCTGGAACACAACAATGGGTTCGTTAATCAATTTTGTTTTCGATTGTTGAATACAGTCAAAAATTTGTGTAGGTTGAAATCAATCTCATTACCAGAAAAAATAAAGGAAATGAAATAGAGACTTACCATGGTCTGTGTGTAGGAGCCCCATTGCGAGATGTCGTCGTCCATCGAGCGGTAGTCCTATTTTTTGGTCGGAGAAAAAAGCCCAAATTTCTCTTTTTTCACGCTGACAGCGAGTTGCTGTGTGCTGAGAGAAAACCTTTGTTCGAAAATTCAAAGGCAAAAGTAGGGTGAAAGATTGATTGAAGGGTAAGTATGTCTTCTTGCTGGAACAATTGAGGGTGTTTTTGTCCAAGGATGACAATGATCCATTTGAATACGTTTTGTGACTGACAAGATTCTTGTCCATGGCAGACATGGATCCCACAATGTCAAAAAGGACTTGCTGAATAATGGCAAAAAATGAAATGAAATGCAAACTAATGGAGGCCAAACAGGGGCTAAAACTACAAAAATCAGGTTTTTACTTTTTATTAATTGAATATTTAATTGTGCAATTTGGTCACGGATATCTTATTAATTAGTTAAAAATTAATTTCAGGTCACAGCTTATCAAATTAATTGGTCACAGATTATTTCGACGTCACAAATTAAAAAATTTATAGGTCAAAGTTGACTTCGTTAGTCACAAATCAAAAATTTATAGGTCACATTTAATCTCGTTAGTCACAGTTCAAAAATTTATAGGTCACATTTGACCTTATTGGTCACAGATCAAGAATTTCATGGTCACATGTTATTTCTCAACCACGAATCAATTTTTTTTTTATAGGTCACAGATTGAAAAAGTAAAACTTTTACCGGTCACAACTCTATTACAGTGAGTCACGGGCACAATTTCTAGATCACAGACAC